GCACAAAATCACGAGCCACTCAAGCAGGAACAAACTTTATTTTTTGAAACTGCCGCCAATGCCCAGTACGCCCCCGGGAAGAATCCCGATTGACCCACGTGGCGTTCTCCCGGAACCCCAGAGGAAGTTCCTCCCCCGGAATTCCTACTGTACTTCCCCAACCAATGGGAATTCTCCAGGAGTCCAGTAGCAGGCCCAGGTGAACAACAGGAGTCCAATATCCATATGAATGCAAATCTTAACATAGTCATATCATCTCAATGGCCAGCTGGCGTCACCTTTCAACCAAAAATGCCATGCATCATATTACTTGGCTGTGGCTCTTAGCACTGTCCCAAAATAAGAAATAAAAGGGCCGGGGATGTGGGACTCAGTGGTAAAGTGCTCCTGGATTCAATCCTAGTACCCAGGGGAGAGGGGAAGGAGAGAGACTTTGGCCTGCATTCTTCTTTCCTCCTGCAGCCACCACACTATGAGTTTGCTTACCAGTCTTTTCCTCCTGCTCCCAAGCCAGCAAATTTATCCTCCAAGGAAACACCTTTAATTTTGTCCTAATATGGTTTCCACAGAGTGAAGTCGAATCTGGCAGGGCTTTGTGTTCTTTGGGAGGTCAGGGGCTTCATGTATTAGGAGTGAGAAAACATTTTATATTTTGAAGACAAAATCACCTAATTTTTAAGTGACATCGAGAAAGTTCTATAAAGTTTTTCTCTGCAGCTGTCCCTTCATCTCTGCCACAACTGCTGCTATTTCAGCAGGTTGGTTTGGTAGAAGCGTCCTTTTGGTAGGAGGTCTCTAGTCTTCTGCAGCATGTTTCACTGTGGGACAGAGGTCTCCCAACAGAGGACATCCAGGGAAGTTCATGCACAGAGGCAGGGTGCTTGGGATGCCTCCTGAAGTCCTGGCTCCATGCTCCATATTTGTAAGGTTCACAGTATTCAATTAAAACAAACAATTTATAGTTAGCAATACTTTTTATTTACAAAGGCAAAATAAATTATTAAGAAAAAGAGCCTCAAGACATCCTGATCTGAAGGGTTTCTACCTCTTCTGCACCCCACAACAGCCTTATGAGAGGAAGTAACTTTCCCAAGGTCAAATGGAGGTAGGATAGAGCTTAAAGGGTCCCCTTGGGGGTGATATTATTCTGTCAAGAAAACATGGGGACACAAATATTATT